AAATTTGGGAGCCGGCCCGGCGCACGGAGGGGGACTCGGCCGGGCATAGTGGGCAGCTCTTCCCCCCTATAGTAGTGAAATGGACAAAACCAGCCAAATGACCACTAGACATTGACAAAACCGGCCATCGCAATGCTTTGTTTTAATATTTAGGCATGCACATACAATCAAATATAATGAAAAGTAAAGCCTTAATCAAATATAATTTTTGTTTTTTTTTAATTGTCAAGAGCATGAGTTCGATGTGATGACATTCCATGGAGGAGATGAAGGTGGAGATGAAGATGAAATTGGAGATGAGTACGAGGAAGAGTGATATATGAAGATGATAGTGTCTTTCATATGCATTTACTATTTACTTTAAATATTTGATTTTGATATGAGACTTATTTTAAATGTTTGTTTTGGATGCAAGACCTTTTTTTTTTTTTTTTGAGTTTTGATTTAAATTAAATGTTAACTTTTGAGTTTTGACTTATAAGATGATTATGATTTATGTTCCCTGTTATTTTATGGTTTGATTTATAATTTTATGGTTAATTCATGAGAATATTTGATGTTGGTAATAAATATGCTATTTTTACGTATTTATATAAATTAAATATAAATAATTAAAAATAAATTATTCAAAAACCCGGTTGGACCCCGGTTGAACCGGTCCAACCGTGACCCGATAGCTTGGCCGGGTCAATGTCCGGTCCGGTTTTCAGAACATTGCTTTTATGTATGGAGGTGTGAGAGTGATTGAATAGTTATAAACACAACCAACAAAATATATTTTTATTTTATTTTATTTATTATTTATTATTTATTTTTTTACTACGAAAACTCCAACGACATAGGAATTCGAGTTAGTGGAGTTCTTCTTTTCGCATTCCCCACAATTATGCCCTTAACCCTACTACTATTTCAACACTAACTATAGTATAACTACTCATTATATATAAATTATTAACATTATAATATATATATGTGCATATGTATATATCTACATACATTCTATCTATATATCTACATGCACGTAGATTCATGTATCTATAGAGATTCTTAATTAATTATTACCATATATATTTGATTTTTGTCTTATTTAATACTATTATTCTACTTACAAAAAAAACCAAGTCTCACTTTAAACTAAAAATCTACCATTGATCTTTGCCTTTATATACAACCACTTATTTTCTCATACCCCTAACTAACTACCACTCTTTCTCTCTCTTTCTTTCTATAAGACAATTTTCAGTTTTCACCCCTTCTAACTAAAAACATGGCCGGTGGCTACCGCGGAGGAGAAACACGGCGGCGGCGGCGGAAGCGGTGGAGGGTAGAAAAGTAATTTTGCATGTCCAATTAGTAGCTACAAACAAAATAGCTTTGCAATATTATTTCGCTCTCCCGAGTTTGTTGCCCTTCTAAACTAGGGGCGGAACTGGGAGAGCGATATTATTGCATTGCGGGGGAATTGAGGGTAGCGGTCCGAATTTATGTTTTACGTCTCGAAAATTCCATTTTTAACCTTGACGTTTTTTATTTATTTTATTTTTATTTTCCTCTCGTTGCAGTTTCTTTTTTTTGTTTTGAAGTATTGATGAGATAAAACATGGGACGATGTAAGAGATGCATACAAAGTAGCTAATTCATGGGTGTTAAGGTGGTTGTTATGGATTAGATAGGGGTGGTTTGGGAATTTTGTCAGAAGTTGGGGGTCTTTTGTGTAATATCTTTGTTATGCTGCTGGGCATGCATCTCTTACACCTGATCTTAATGTAATATTGGATTTCTATTGAATTATATATCAGAAATTAAACTGTTACTCTTTTTTTTTCTTTTTTTTTCTTTTTTTGCTAATTAATATCTTTCCCCTTCTAAATTTTTTACTTGTTAATATGATCTAGTAGTTAAATAAATATTATAATATATATATATATATATATATACTTTTATTCATTTTGAGAATATATACATAGAATTTAATCATCGTAAATAAATGGATTAATTATATATTTGTTTTCTTTAAATAAACTTCTATGAGAAATTCAAGCCCAATTAATTGTAGCAGTAAAATATAGAGTTGGGCTTAGTGTTTATTTTATCAGATGGGCTTCGTATCAATATTAATGTGGGCTCTTAGATAAAGCACAATACTAATTTTCAAGAATTTAATTGGGCTAATAAACTTTCCTTAGAAAACCCACATTAAAATTTTAAATTTAGTATTTTATATATCATATCTGAGTGAAATAAATGAAAAATAATACAAGAAATAGTATAATAAATTTAAAATTATTATATTAAAATGAATTTTGTTTTGCAATTGGCTTCAGAAGAATACTCAATTAAATTAATTAATAAATGCATCTTCGATTTCGAAATTATTAATTTTATTATCATGATATACTTACAATTCATGCTACAACATGTTTTCTTTTTTTTTTTCATAAAATATTTAGGTTTATGTGCATGGATGAAACAAGCCACGTATTCCTGGGTTGTCTAATACCAAGATTTCGCGTGTCTTTATTTTGATCGATTGGTCGCCACGTTGGCTGGCTGATAGCTGGGGTACGTGGACGGCCACGATTAACTCTCTTTTAGCATGACTAAACAAATCTCTACACGTTAGTCCAACAAAATTATTAATTAAAAAATTAAATCCAAAGCAGAAACAAAATTAATTTTCTGTTCAAAAAGTGTAGAATATTTATAAAAATAATAAATAAATTAAATAAAAAGCAATTAATTATTGGGTAAATTACATCTACATCCCTGAGGAATGCTAAAATAATTTTAATGTACATGTGATTTTGATAATTACAGTCACACCCCTGAAACAATTATCGGAGCCAAGATTTCATGTTCTGGGACCGACTATATTTATTTTCTGCGGGGCCGTTAGTGCTACCATAATCGAAAATTTATAAATCTTATATAAAATAATAAGGATTTAAGAAATGTTAGTAGTGTTATGTCGCCTCTTAGCTCTATGTTGCCCTACCACTGCCTGAAACTAATAGTCCGTTTGATCCTTAACGGAATAACTTATCCAATGCATTATTTTGTTGGGGTTTCTAATGTTTTAGGGAGATAAACTTAAATTACCGATGCTTTCTTAAAGTTATTTAAGCATACCTGATATGGAATTTGCAATCTGCAAATTGGAGGGTGCCGACTCCATAAAAAAATATTTATAGTGGGACCAAAATTTATCAGGTCGAAAATGACACAATTACAACTTTGTCACACTCACCAAAAAGTTGCAACTTGCAGATGCTTTTTACATTATATTTATTTATTTATTCAATTAATTAAACTCAGAAAAATATATATCAAAAAATACAAACAGTCTTTTTTTTTTTTTTTTTTTTTTTTCTTTTTCTTAATTTTCCCTAGCCACCACACATTTTCTTGCAAGTGGTCACTGCGAAAATGATTCAGCACCCAACTACAATGAAAGCAATTTGCAATTCCCAGCTTTTCATTGGTTACTGAAGATATTTAACTAATTTGAGGGCTATATTGGTCTTTTTATTTTCGAATTAATTAGAGGAAAATATTGATATTTTAATTGAGAAAAAATATTGTCTAAATATAACTAATATTATAACTAAAAATTAGATGATAAATAAAATATTAATTTGGTGTTATTTTTGTCTTTTTTAAATTTTATTATTTTACAAGGTTTTGATGATTTGTGCTTATAAATATGTTGTCAGATTTTTTTGTTGTAACAGTGGTCTTTTGAAGTTGAATATATGGGAATGGGACCATCCCATATAACACTCTTTATCTGCTTGTCTATTTTTACTCCCTTTTTCTGTCTTTTATTTCAGTCTTCACGTGCAAATGGTCCCTATGTTAATTCATTCATTCATTCATTAACTAATTATGATAGTTGTTATTGTTAATGATGCTACCAATGATAATAATTATAAACTAAGCCCCTTAACTAGTAATAAATTACGAAAAAATTCCACATGTCTAGTTAATTACAATCACCTCATCAACTCTGTCTTCTTACATGTTCACTCTTGCGGTGTAAAGTTTAGTGTAATCTTCGAAATTATGTGGAATATTCTTCAGTTTGTGGCCGTTTAACCCCCATTCGAACTCCACATTTTGAACAAGATGATCACATGATGTGTTTCTTGGCTCATAATATCATATTGTAGTGTATCAGAAACTATATTTTGCATAAAACGAGAACAAATTAGAGAACATTCAATGGAATCTAGAAGATTATGTTGAACTAATAGAATGGACGTGTAAGAATATTTTTAGTTGAGGGGAGTAATTGTAATTACTCAAACAAAATGAAATTTTTCGTAATTTGACAATAGTTCAGAGGTGACCGTAATTTAGCTTAATAGTAATGATATGGCATTGTTTTAGCTCGCAAACACCCATATGTTTGGCCTTTTAAGAAAGATTTAGAGAAATAATAATTTCTTTTAGGAAAGTAAATTTCATTAATTGGTTCATATGACAATTTTTATAATTTTTTTTTTGTAGTTTTTATATCTTTGAATTCTTAGAATTTTATTACTTTGATTTTTAATGTTAATTATAAATTAAAACGTATATAAGTTAAGCATTCATAACTTTCAGCATTTATCGGATGAAGAAGATTTGATTAAATAGCTATCTATTACGCATACATACAAATAAATGTGCGTGATTATATGTATATTTATATTTCGAATTCGTTGTAAATAATCAAGTGCATCATCTAATTTCCCCACTTATGTGCATGCTCAACTAAATATACATATTTTGAATTTTCTTAACTATTTTCTTCAATAGAAAAATACCGATTTTCAAATTATAATTGCCAACTAATAACAATTATTTATGATACAAAAAAAAGATTAATAAAAAAAATGTTACAGTAGGTGAAAGGAGCTCCTATGGTAAGGAACACCTCAAAAACAGAGGATAATTTCCCAAGAAAAAGAAAAGGGAAAAAAAAAAGAAAAAAAGAAAAAGAAAAGTGAAATGTCAAAACTGCCACCAAGTTTAACCTGGAAAAAAAGAGATTAAAAAAGGTCCCAAAAAACACACATTCGCATCAAACTCGTCACCGCCACGCGCCGCCGTGGTTCTACACTACATCACTGAGACGGGAACCACGCGAGGAGATCTTCAGCGACGCGCCTGCGCGTGATCATCACGCTCTCTCCGGACGATAGGTGCGTCCGGCAAAGGGGGCAGTTGAAGTTCAGGTGGTTGAGCCAGCCGTCAAAGCAATCCTTGTGGAACACGTGGCGGCAAGCTAGCCTACGCACGTGGTCCCCCTCGTCCAGCCGGTTCAGGCACACCACGCAATCCATATCCAACTCGCCGTCAACTCCGTCGGACCGGTTCCGGTAGGAAAAAGCCCGGTTCAGATTCAATTGGTCGCAGAGCACGACTAGGTTGGCCAGACCGGCGCCGGCGACCTCGTATAGAGAGCTCTCGAAATGTCGGCGGTGGTCGGCGCCGGCCGGATCGAACCGGGGGGAGAATAGGCCGAGGTTGTGCAGGATAGTGAGGAGAAGGGAGTGGAGATAACTTACGCTCTTTCCGACAAGCACCACCATGAATACGAGGACCGATTCCGATGACACGTCGGACAGCTGATTTTGTAAACCCATCGCGTTGTTCGATTAACTTCGATTGTTAGTGTTTCATGCAATAATCTGGTTGTAATATTGTGTTTGAACATATACTTATATATTTATATATATATATATATATACTGTGTGTGTGTGTGTGTGTGTGATTTTGTATATATTTAGATAGATGTATGTATCATGTATGTATGTGTGTATACGTGGAGGAAATGAAGGAAGGACAGGTAGGCGAATTATATTGCTTATACGGATTCAGATGGGTCGGAGCCCATTAATATTTTAATCCCAAATTACGATCAGAGCCCCCAGGTAAAGTCATATTACGAAAAAAACCTCTTTTTATTTTTGTAATTACAATCATTCCCTTAACTATGTATTTACTTACATGTTCATCATTACGTTGTTAAATTTACATAGGGGTGTTCATCCGATCAGTAAACCGATAGAACCGAACCAAACGAAAATTCGGTACGTGCCTTACCGAACCGGTAATTCGGTTCGATATTCAGTTATAATTAAAAAAAAAAAAAACAAAAAAAAAAACATTTTAATAAAATTGATAATTGGGTTTTACCGAACCGTATGATAAATGGTATGAAAATTTGGCGTACCGAAATTCCGGTACGATTTTATGAAATGAACACCTATAAATTTACTAACTGAAAAGGATTTTTTCGTAAGACAGTACATAATTGACGAGTGACTGTAATTATGCAAATAAGAGGGATTTTTTCATAATTTAATCTTATCTCAAGGGCCGAGAAATTTGCCCATATTTTAATTAAATTGATATTTATATTTGTTTTTCTTTTGAAGAAAAAAATTATATATTATTAATCTACGAAAATTTTACTGATACTATTTTCAAGTTAAATTCTCTAATTAGCGAAAACAACAGGTTTAATTAATTAATTATAATTAAATGTATGTATAATCATACTTAAAATAAAAACCAAATTGCATACACTAATAAATAAGTTTGCGAGTCGATATAATGACATCATAATATGTCACTTTAATTATTTTCATATTTTTTACACAAATTAAAATTGATTTTTTTTTTTAAATCCTAATTTTCGTGTCTAAAATTGATTGTACTTCACAAAAGTTCATGTATGGGAAACTTGTGCTGAAAAGATACACATTAAATACATCACTACAAGACAAGATAGGTGGGCCCCGTCATGGGTTGGATATGAATATCTTTTGAAGCTGTTTCATTAGATGAATTTTATTTCATACAAAATCTTATTTATTTATTTTTAATACTTTATTTATTAATTATTATTATTATTACAAAATAAATAAAAGTAGTATTTTGGATAACAACGTGGACGTATGCAGACCTTAATCTCTGAAGCTCCCTACTTTTTATCATAACCTCAGCAATTAATTCATCCTTTTTTGTCATCTATCTTAATTAAGCTAAACCGACTTATACATGCATTTGTCACAATATTTGCCACAATTTTTTTTTTTATATATATTTTTTTATTATTATTTATTAATAGTTAAATACCTAAATACACTTCTTCTTAACTAATATATGACTTAAATGTTATTTGGCATAAACTTATAAACTGTTAAAAAAGAGTTTCTAACATGTTTTTGAGCTTATAAACTCTTTTACAGTGTTGGTAATTTTTTTTTAAAAGAACCTTTTTGACTTGAACATATTTATTGACTAATGTATTTATATAAAAATATTATTAACTTGAACATATTTATTGAGTAATGTATTTATATGTACATCTAATTTTATTTAGTTATGTATTTTGTGGTCCCCACAGGCCTGAAAATATTGTCATGCCTGACGACTTGGCCAGAATGAAATAAGTTTCGTGTGATAAATTAAAGCCGTGTTTGGCATTTTTTTTAGTTCCTAAAGTCTTATCTCTTTTCCATAAATAGTATAAACAAAACTAATAACATTACCTAATACAAATATATATATATATATATATAATTTTAAAAAAAGAAAAAAAAACTTTTGGAACGTGAAATGATATGAATAATATTTAATATTATAACTATTAGATGTATTAATATATTAACAAATAATAATAAATAGTAAATAAATAAGTATTCATGCACGGAGAAAACATAGTAAAACGACAAGTGTCACTTTACGCGTGCCACGTAAACGTAACTAACTGTATACTTTTAATTCACAAAAGTTTACGCTGCAAAAGTTGCGCAATAAATAATAAATAAATAAAGTTAAACAACAAAAAGTAATAGTAAATAAATGAAAGATAGTGGGGCCATTAATTACATATGGTAAGATCTACACAAATATCTTTCGAAGCAGTTTCATTAGATGATTTTGTTTTGCAAATAAATATCTCGAGTTTTTTTATTATTATTTGCAAATAGAAGTCAAAAACTAGCCCAATATACTAATTTAGGCCCAAATAAAATAACCGAAGAGCCTGTTTGGTCTATGCTTATAAGTTGTTTAAAAAAAATTTATAAGCTGTTTAAGAGCTTATAAGCTCTTTTAATGTATTTGGTATTTTTATTTTAACAATTCAAATATTCAAAAAATAAGTTGTTGGAGAGTAAATAAGATTTTTTTCCAGAGTACATTTAGTGATCTTTTTATTTAAAATCTTATAATATGTAAAAAAAATAGTTTATAAGTTCATTATCCAAACACTTTAAAAATTAATTCTGAAAATAAAACGCAACAACTTATCAACTCTTAAAACAACTTATTATATGTAATAACTTATCAACTGTGTTTAAAATAAGCTTATCGGCTAATTCCTTAATTCCAAGTAATTGAGATGTGCCACATCCACAGCTCATATTGTTTTTTCCAATTTGATGACTTAATAAATAATAACTCCAAAGTAAAACTAGTTATAACACTTCTAATTAGAAATATAAACAGGAGGGCATATCAGTAATTAATCAATTTAATTTCAGATGAGACCAAGCTAGAACAAAGGCAGGATTCGGTAAAATATTTTATTTTATTATCAAAATATAAATCTCATAGTAATACAGCCAAAAGTCGAAAACAATCTCGATTTGCATTAAGCATGTATTTAAGTAACAGATTTCCATAATAAAGTCGAAAGATATAAATAGTTTACAACGATTTAGGGTGAAAACAATCAATAACTTCTCGACAATTTTATTACATCTTCGTACTTGAAACGATCGTATAACTCGAGATGTCCTGCAAATCCCTTTATGCACTGTTTCCAGTTGCCTTAGTCAAAGAGGTGAAACTGAACCTGCAAATTAACCAGAGTGAGTCACATATACAAAACCAGGATTTTCTTGGATTCAATTTCGAAAATCCGGTGAAATTTAATTCAAAATCAATCAAATAATATGTTGTTTTTTTTTCTTTTTTTCCCATTTTCGTGTAGGGAGAGAGATACCTGATAATGGGCTTCTGAGTTGGCATGTTTGCTGATGTAGGCACGGTTGCAGTTGTTACCGACAATTCAAGAGGCTAAAACAAACGAGGAAAAAGGGCAAAGAAATCGGAAGTTAGAACAAGATATACGTAATTGAAGATCAAAAATCATACCACATTCTTGATTGTAATGCAATTTTTTTTACTAATGACGGACTCGATTATAACACTTCAATGTGGCTATAATGCAAGAAACATCGACGGGGGTCTATCGGTATATATGTAAAAATTAAAACCTATGCAAATATAATTTCCATGGTAGTAAAAGAATCAAAGATAGTATGCATTTTACGACAAAAGATCGAAGAACGAATCAATAAATATAGAAAAATAAAAAAATAACCTCAAGCTCCTCCAAATCAAACTTTTGTTGAATAACCGAACAAGTGGGCCCCTCCCCTGGTATTGCTACTCCTGTAGCTAACCCCGGTGTGACAGGCACAGATGTTTTTAAACCTTCAATTTCACCGTCGTATTGACTTTCACTCTTCAACTCCACAACCCCATCAATTTCTTCCGATAAACCTTGGAAATTAATAGTCTGTTCAGAAGAAGATTGCTCGATCAATTTGCTTTGACCGAATCCAGTAATTCCAGGACCATTGCTGGATATATTCCCAGGAAATCCTGAGTTACTTATAGTATCAGCGAAATTATTAAGCTGGATTTTTTTCCTCGCAGGCGAATCATCCAACGAAGTGGAGTCACTAGCGCTAACAGCAGCTTTACTGGCTTCGTCTTGCTGCTGCTTTCTCTTCTTCCGACCCGTAACAGCATTATCGGGCTGTGGGGAATTCGATCCGGGCAATCTTTGAACAACGGGGCGGATCTCAAAACCTCTGCCAGTTGGCGGTGGCGGGGGGCGGACCCCACCTGGGAAGACGAAGCTGGGTATCTCCTTTCGTTTGACGTGACAAACGTTGATCCACATTGTTGGCTTCAAGGAGTTGTACATGTACACATCGCGCTTGAAATCGTCCACAGTCATCCTTATATCGAATTGTTCGGTGGTGGCTTGAGGGTTGGGACTTTGCTTCCTTCGCAAGCCAGTGAAGTAACTATGATAATTTGGCTTTGACTTGTCTGAAAATTCTCCAGGGTATGGATGGCACTGCAATGCCCCATTTGTGTCCCTTTCAATCTGGATTATTCACAGCAAAAATTGTTTTAACATATACATGTGTGTGTGTGTGTGTGTGTGTGTGTGTGTGTGTGTGTGTGTGTGTGTGTGTGTGTGTGTGTATACATAATAAATTAAGCCGATAGCAAAAAGAGTTGGACAGACCTTTAAAGTAAGCCACCTTATTCTGGACTCGACCCAACCTTTCCAATTCATCAAGTCCTCGGCCGTCTCTGCTGCTATGTCAATTTGCAGATAATTCCTGTATGCTTCAAAGAAGGCGAAAGGCTCGAAAAGAGAATCCCAGCTAGCATTATTTGCTTCTATTGCCTATAACACACACAATAAATGGATCTGACATAAGGAATAACACAGCAAACAGAAGCACTAATCCCAAAAATCAAGTCTTGAAGCACAAGAAAGCATATCTACATACGCGAAAATTAAGGTTTGAAATAAGAGAATGAAAATTAAGGTTTGAAATAAGAGAATAACGTACCTCGCATATTTCTTTCCCTCTCTGAAATTCTTCGGTCATGACACGTAAAGTGCTTGAAGAGACATTGTAGCTAGAGTTCATGCAGGGATATGCAGGGGTTATTATGGGCATCAGGTGTAACGTGTCCTTGTGATTTCTTCTAGGATCCCAGAAGTTAAGTCCTAGAGATCCTTGTTCGATTGGACACAACATCACAGGATTTGGCCATTTCCACAAATTGTATACCCTAAAAAAACGAGACACCAACATGCTGGGAAGAGCGTTTGGGTACAGCTGGCAAATGCGGGCAACAAGCAGCGCCCAGTTAATACCACCAAGAAAACCCGTGACCTGTACATATGGAAAACCAACTCAAGTTTAAAACACGAACTCAACACAAAAGCCAAATTGCTCGATACAAGTGAAAAGAAAGAAGCTACGGCATTAATCTCCTTACATTTGAATAAACTCCACGCCGCTTCGCCCATAGCCTCATACATCTCAGTGTAGTACGAAAAGTCTACATTGTAAAAAATAAATAAATATACGAATCACTCTGAAGACAAAGACTTCAACGTTTAGTTTTACTGATCACAAACCTGAATATTTGGGACCAGGCGCAATATTTGATCAGTAACCCTACAACCATTGAGACTACGAACAGTCTTGTCATCCACATTTTGCAGAATAGATTCTTGTGAAATATCCAAATCCTATAAACAAAAAACAGCACACACAAACAATAAATTTAAAAATAATAATAATAAAAACAAATCATTAAAGGCTTTCAGTTTTTCACTATTGCTACAGCCCCTAAACTAGATAAACGGTAAACAACAAGTACACAGCTTAAATCAGGTTTCAAGGTATCAGCAAAGAAAATGAAATTCACGAATATGGTACACGAAATAAAAACGAAAAGCTAAAAACTCATTACTAGAAACAACAAAGGTCCATACTTCAGGAATAACCCAGAGGGACACGTTTGCATAAAGTAGATCAACAGAGACACCATTGAATTTGAACTTCATCACTGGAACATGAGCTTCTGATACTGAATGCAGCTCTTGTACTTCAGGCATCTCCACCAACATTCTGTAAAGTTCGCCAAAGAAATCTTCCTGTATTTGACAAAAGTTATTTTTTCTCGCAACTGACAAGTACCAAAATTCAATAGGATATAAAATAGAGAAAGCGTCTTACATTTCGAGTGGCATGCTTTGGTCCAACACACAAGGTGTCTATATCAGCACCAGGACTATGTACCTAGAAAATAGACGAAAGCAACTAAAAGTCAATCCTCCAATACACGCCTTGCACCCCTCCTATAAAAGAACACACTGTTTCGACGATTAGAGCCAGGGGATAATTTGTATAATAAATATTCATCCTTTCCCATAACTGGTTACTTTATTTTGCTTTTTGCATGATATTTCATGTATTCGTCAGTTAATAAAGCTCGTGCAATGCAATCTAGATATCTTCCTCTATTTAGGCCCAACCACATAAAAGTATAAAACTTAAAACCCGTTAACATTTCATGTGAAATAAGTAAAAGTAAAAGTAACTCCAGTGCCAGCAAATAACACACGTAATCCAGTGAAACATATAGAACCATGCACATTCGCTCGTGAAGAAGACATATATAATCTTGTATCTTAGCTCAACTTTGTATAACCGACATATGTCTAAAATGTAATTTGAAAGAAGAATTTGAAAAATTAAAGTAATGTTTGATTGTATCTCAGTGAAGGCATTTGAGAAGATTTACAGACAATTTTATTTACGTAGCCGAAGATACTATCCAAAAAGAAAATAGCTAATCATTTTTTCACTTCATCGAGTAGTACTATAATTACCCTGACCATAACATAAGAGTTTCAACTTCAATTGATGGAAGTAAGGTAAAATTTGTACAAATGATAAGCGAAAGCACAAAGGAAACAAAAAAAAAAAATCATACCCCAAGCCGATAAGAACCAAATGTGAAAATTTTTGCGTTTGCCTCCTGTACTATCGACTCATTATAACCTTTGGCACGGCTAATATTCTTCACCCACGTCTTCACAATCTGTGAAATAATCCAAGATCGGAAAATTAGCATCAATCTATAAAGAAAGAAAAAAAGTAGAGAGTTGAGTTTGAGTAGACAACCTGGTCCAATCTACCAAGAACTTCCTCCCTTGCGATAGCTTCTTCATGACTTTCGTACAATCCCGCATCTACAAGAAACTGATCCCATACACAAGTCAGAACACACTTATAAACCACTTCCACTTGATAATGATTTGATTTACTTCTAACTATCGCAAAATTCATAAGCTAAGAAAAATTCAATGTTGTTTCAATCAGAAGTAGCTAAATGGAGGAAAACTGTAGCTGTAGACAATCAAAATTTTAAGCGAAAATCAAGTTGTAGTTGCGACAGAATTTCCATTTCTCGAGAAAAAGAGGAAGAAGGGACAAAAGAAACTGAATTTTAAATAAATAACAATAAAACCCTCGAACAAAGTCAGATTTTGCCTATAAAAAAGAAGTAGCTTGTCTTCTTTCTGTTTTACCTCCCTAAGAACATCAATAAACTACAATCAAGTTAACCACCTAATTAAAATGCATCATCGATCAAATTGAATGACAATCATTTTCAATTCTGACAATGAATACCCGATTCCATTTCAATGCCATAACTGAACCTTAGAGAATGAAACCACATAAGTATTTCGAATAGAATAGCTATCTCCTACTTGAACCAAAAACAACCCCAATCACACAAAGAAACTGAGCAGAACATATGTACAAAACTCATGAGAAGGATATATAGAACCAACCTTTTCCAACTCACGAGTCTTGATAACATCAAACTCACTTGGGCCGCCAGTTGAAATCGGCTCAGATAATCCAATACGAGCTGCAGTAGCCTGATTACTCAATCCAGGGCTACCCATCAACTATCCTCTTCTCAGCAATTGATTTGTTTCAAGAGATTTCCTCTCTTAAATTGGGTGAAAGAAGAAAAATAAGCTGATGACAATATAACAACAAAATCTCCCTTTTTTTTATTACCAATAACAGTTAACGATCAACACTCAACAATCAAAAAATATATTTATAAATAGCTATATTAAACAAATGATCAATTATATTAAACAATTGATCAACTAAAAAAATCAAAAAAAAAAAAAAAAACAATATCCTTCGATTTTTTTATTGAATTCCAGAGAAAGCTACAAAAGAGGAAAATACAGCTAAAATTAATCGACGAAACTCTCCCTCTACTATCAATCTCTCTTCTTCTCTTTTTTTTTTTCTTTTTTCTTTTTTCTTCACTCTCTTTTACAGGTATACTACGATTAAAATCGAAACCCTAATAATTGAATCGAACGAGGCTTCAAATCTTTTTTTCCTCCTCTTTTCTTTCTCGATAATGTGTTTGGGTCTTCTCGAAACGGCCGGAATCCCTAAAAATCAATTAAAACCTGAAGTTATCCACAACTGAAAATCAATTATATCTACTAATTAATACGATGATATATATATATTTGTAATTGCAAATATACACATATATATATATATATATATATATAGAGAGAGAGAGAGAGAGAGAGAGAGATAGAGAGATATAGATAGAGAGAGAGAGGGGGAGGAAAGTGCTTACAAAAGGAGAGTCGTCGGCTGAGGAGGTCGTGATCGGAGAGAATTTGCTGAAGAGAAAAAAATTTGAGAGAGGCGACAAAGGAAAATAAGGGCAGAAACAAAAGCGGAGTAATTAATGATATCCGTAATTAATTAATACTTAATTAATTCATTAATAATGGGTTAGGTTGAAATTGAAATGCTGTAGGAAAAGTTCGAGACTTGAAAGTCAAACACCAACTCTGACCCACTATCCAAAAATTTATTTTAGTTTATTTTTTCCTAAAAATTGTTTTTTTTTCTTTTAATTATTTTCCTAGACTATGAGGAAAATATTTAATATTAAATTAGAAAATATATTTGTTTTTTTTTTTTTTGAGTAATTCAAGTCATTACAAGGGAAAGTAGGGGAGGGGGGACTCGAACCCTAGACCTTTTACCCTATTGGTAAGGCTAGGTACCAACTCTCCTAATGAGGGTTGGTAGAAAATATATTTGTTTGTTGACAATATAGGTCGGGTTTTTATCTTGTAAATCGTTTTTGGCTCCCGATCACTATACTTTGAGCACTGCATTCCTTTCTTTTAATTTCTGCTTACAATGAGCTCCCTACTCATCCGAAAATATCTGAAATGACCTTCAATGATTGAATTTTGAAAGTACTTATCGATTGATTTTGAAAGCATTTATCAAAAGTCACGAGACCAAGACCAGAGTGTTAGGCGAATGTGTTTTGTTTTTTTTTCGCGAGGATGATAACTTCTAATTTTATTGAATGTTAGAATGGTTGTGTTATAGAGGCCCGATCTTTGCCTATTGCATCCATGGTGGATGTTACACGAAAAACATAATGAAAATGATGAATAAAAGGTTAGAAAAATACGTTCACGTGATTGGACAATTGTGCCCGAAACACGAGGAGACCTTGGCAAAATATTAGATGGCCTCACGTACCATCGGAGTTGATTGGTCTAGCAATTGGGTCTTCGAGGTTCGTGTAAACAGTATATTATATGCGGTGAATTTGCAGCAGAAGATATGCTCTTCGAGAGAATGAAAACTCACAAGAGTGTCGTGTAAACATACTTGTTCATGTATTACCGAAAAGAAATTGTCCGTGTGCGACTCTTGTGGCCCGGTTGGTTTGGGCCCGTTGCCATGTTTAGGTGCATACTGTTGTGGGCCTTTTGAATCCTTTTAAAAATATAGTTCTATTAAAAATTTAAAATCAATGTCTAAATTCTACTGATAATCTGTGCTTAAATTCCTATTAATTAATTTAATCATTTTAATTATTAAACGTTTATTAATTAACAACAAAAATGAATAATTACTTAATTAGTGTAAACGCTGGCACGAGAGAAGGTTTCATTTGAATACCGAAAAATCAGCACTCCCTCTCTACAAAAACATTTCCCCCAATTACTTAGCTCCAGGTTTTGGCGCCACTGAACAAAAACTTGAATTTCAGTCAATTAAAGTTTTCGATGCAAACGAATTAATTGTTTCTCACTGCCCGGATTTCGCAATTTGCTTAGCATTATCAGGTATCGCATCTCTCTCTCTCTCTCTCTCTCTCTAGATTTCGATTTCCTTTTGCGTTTATTTACTTTATTTAATTGCTCTGCAACATGCGTAGTAGTCTTCAACAGATTCGCGAGGTTTAGGGTTATAATCAATTGTATTGTTTCAAAGATGTACAATTGTTCTTCTTTGATTTGGTGAAACTGATTTTAGATGGCCGCTTCAATTGGGTAGTTTAATTCAATTGGGGATTTCTGGCCTTTTTTATTTCAAAAATTGGTGAAAGTTCGTCTAACAATTTGTTTTCTGTGTGTGTGTGTGTTTTAATTTTCCAGATTGCAGCTTTAAATAGCTTTTGGAGGTTGATTTGGTTATACTGGGATCGATTTCATGGCCGGTTATTATGATATCGATGATATATTAGCAGAAGAAGAGGTATCTGCTTTAAATTCTTGTTCTGCAGTTTTTAGAGGTGAAAAGTTGTGATTCTGATTTATGTTTCTGTTTTGGATCGGGCCCTCGAATTTTAGCTCGTTCCATCGGTATTCCAACACGATGCAAATGGGGTTGGGCTTTTTGACTCGAGCGATGATACGGATAAGGTATTTTTTTTTTGTGCTAATGGTGCTTGTAACTCATAATTCATTTAGTAGTTTAAGCTTGTGAAGAATAGGATGTTCCTATTACCATAAATCTTCACGAAATACTCGTTGTCTTGATTTCAGGTGATAGCTGGTTCAAGAGCAGAACTGCCATTTTGGCTGGTCCGCGAGTTGTATTTGAGACAACTTATATCTATAAGGGTTCCTCCATGTTTTGACAGAGAGTAAGATCTCATTTTAATCCTAGATTATGCTTTTATTGATATCTATAAGTCGCCATCAAGTGGTTTTCGTTGTTTGCATCCAAGAAATAATTTGTTCTTGTTCTTTGGAAACGAGGCTGAAAGCCACAGAGATGCGGAATATGTCATTTTTTCTTCCTCTTCTTTTAGTATAAAGACAGTGCTAGAAAGTTGAAGTTGTACACATTTGAACTGAATATGTTTTAGTAACTTCTTATGCCATCAATTCTATCTTCTATTTCCCTTATTCTTACCGAGCATAGTACAAGCCCTTCACAGAACTTTTGTAATGTATTAAAAGTATTTGGATAGTATTCGTATATTATTTTGTCAATATTTGAGTTACTCTTTCTTTTTTTCTTCTCCTCCTTTTGTGCTTAATTTCTATTTTGTTCCTCGGCAGTTCTAAAACACGAGAAGAAATAGGTGCTGATGCCGCCCATGTGGATCTAAAGAGTCGATGTGCATATTTTTATACACTAGGGTGTAAGATTGCACCACTGTAAGTTTCCTCCACTCCTTTTGTCATTTTCTTAAAATCCCGGTTTCCTGCACATTCTTCCTTATTTGCCATACTTGTGTAGGAGAAAATAAATCAGAAAAAATAACTCTTCAAACTTGTTGTCTGCGTGTGCAGTAAGAATCTCAATACTTTTTTATCCATCTACCTAAAAACCTTAAATTGTAATTAGTTTTTATGACTTCAAATTGAAATGGTGTTTGAGGAATATATGCATTTTCCTTGGTTATAGATAAAGAAAAAGCTATGGACAACGAGTATTTAGCCACTCAGTTATTCGATATCATTACCCTGTTCATTTCATTATGAAGTATACTTACGTTTAATAGACGCATCTTCTACCCTAAGAATGCTTTGATTTTCAAATGATGTAACCGAACAAAGACTTAAAACGACAGCTCATCATATAAAGTTATCACCGAGCTCACCTGCTTATCTTAACAACGAACAGCATAGGTGACAAAACCATAGGGCCGTTTCTTCTTGTGGCATTTCGGACCAGATACAGGGAAGTCTTGATTAAGGCACATACTCTGTCACTTTCGGTGGCTCCCAAATACTTGATTCTTCTTACTAACGAAGAAGCCAAACGTGAGTTCACTTTCTCCTTATGAATTTCAATTTAAAGGGATTTTGCGTTTAACGCCTATATATATATTGTTATAATTTGTTTTTGAAGTGTATGAAGCTGGACAATCTTCGATAGTTGCGTTTAAAAAGTGGCGGATGGGTGGGCCCAGATTCCAAATGGCCCCTGTTCTTGGACGGAAGAGGAAACCGACTTAAAAACGGTGGTGGTAAATGGTACAGCCTGTTCCGCTACATGTGCAACATTCCTTATACTAAATTGTGAGGTTCTCCTCAAGTTAGATATTAATTTCAGTAAATTAAAATGATTCGTATACTGCACTGTGAACTTTAAGATTGTTGTCACCTAGGTTTTTCTGTAAACTTGTAATAAAATCATCATATGCCGGGCAGATTTTGTACACCCCTTAATTTTTTATTTATTTCTTATGATTTGACTTGGCTCGTTCTATATATTTTTTTTTTTTTTTGAGTAAATTCAAGTCCATTACAAGGGAAAGTAGGGGAGGGAAACTCGAAACTTTAAAAAAGGGATCTATGATATCAATATATAAATATATTTTTAATGCAATTATAAAAAAAAATGCTGGCAAAACTTTAAAACAGGGATCTATGATATCAAAGTATCAATATATAAATATATTTTTAATGCAATTATAAAAAATAAAATAAAAAATGCTGGCTATGGGGTTCGAACCCATGCGCACTTATGTGCAGAAGATCTTAAGTCTTCCCCCTTAACCTCTCGGGCAAACCAGCTTTATGTGAAAATGCTTGTGAAATTACATATTAATAATAACAATTAGAAATATTTCGGCTGAAACAAAAGTCCACCAACCACGTTAGGGGCAAAAGAGTAACTTTGCTACACCTGATAGATACTCACAAGTCACATCACAAGTAACAGTGAGTTGGTGTTTGGTAGATCCGCATGGTGAGATTGTCTACAAGCTGACTGTGTACGAGTCTCCGATATAAACAAGAAAAACTACGGCTTCTTTCTCCGCCTTTTAATAATTAAATAAAATAATAAAATAAAAATAAAGCTAACCTCATTTGCCCTTCCTATACACGAAGAGCTTCCCCCTCCTCTCTCTCTCTTATTTATTCTCTCTTTCTCTCTCTAATTTTGGTCACACAAAAAAAACAAGAGAGAGTGATGGCGTGCTCAAGTGTGGTCAAATTGAACGCCGCCTCCTCATCGTGGACCGCCGGCCAGAAGTCCGTCGTCAACCAGCGCCCTGGATCGGCATCGCGATTCCCCGCCCGCCGCGTCTCCGTCGTCCGCGCCGGATCTTACACCGATGAACTCATTAAAACCGCCGTAAGCTCTCCCGACGTTTCTCGATTATGAATTGTAGATTTTATATACACATATTGCGTTGTTTTTTGTCTGTTTGAGACTTAATTTTTATGTTTTCGAATTTTATGCATGATTTGTTGTTGATGCAGACCGATCACAGAATTCTAATTTATTTTTTTTTCGGACTGTTTGGAGATTTGTATATGTTGAAAAATAAAATGATTTCATTTTCTTAAGCAATTTGAACTGGCTTTTGAGATTCTGCTGTTTGGAGATTTGTATATGTTAACACTCTAATTTAGAGAACTTGTTCTTATCATTTTCTTTAATTCATTTTATGTGCTGCTCCAATCATATAAATATCAAATCTATGTTCGAGGGTTCGAACTCAACTCGAGTATCTTAAACTAAAGCCGTTTCTGTTTTGCCTTTTTTGGGATCAGAAATCAATTGCATCTCCAGGCCGTGGAATTCTTGCAATCGATGAATCGAATGCGACCTGCGGAAAGAGGTTGGATTCGATAGGACTTGATAACACGGAAACAAACAGACAGGCATATAGACAGCTTCTGTTGACCACCCCTGGCCTGGGTGAATATATATCCGGAGCAATTCTCTTTGAGGAGACGCTCTACCAATCAACTACAGATGGAAAGAAGTTTGTTGATTGTTTGTCCGATCAGAATATCGTACCTGGTATCAAAGTTGATAAGGTGAGGTTTAATTATTTTTTTTTTAATAGAAATATGTTTCTTGGGATTCTTCGATATATTGGACTTTGGACTAATATGAAATCATTTCTAAATTCATGGTTTTGTTTTTCCGTTTAACAGGGTCTGGTTCCCTTACCAGGATCGAACAACGAATCTTGGTGCCAGGGATTAGATGGACTTGCTTCACGTTCTGCTGAATACTATAAGCAAGGAGCTCGTTTTGCAAAATGGTATGATTTATATTGCGAAGTGCATTTGCTGATTCGTTCGAAGGATAATTTTGAGTATTGACCTTTTTGCCCTTGTGTTCTACTATTTTAGGAGAACTGTTGTTAGCATACCATGCGGTCCTTCTGCTTTGGCTGTTAAAGAAGCAGCTTGGGGTCTTGCTCGTTATGCTGCTATTTCTCAGGTATGTTCTAGTTTTGCTTCTTCAATCTCTTCTCTTGGAGGAAACAATGAAAAGGATATTAAATATATGATTTTGCGTCCAGGATAACGGTCTAGTGCCTATTGTAGAACCCGAGATTCTTCTTGATGGGGACCACCCCATCGAGCGGACACTTGAGGTGGCGGAGCGTGTATGGTCGGAAGTTTTCTACTACTTAGCAGAAAACAATGTTGTCTTTGAAGGAATTCTGCTTAAGCCCAGCATGGTCACACCAGGTGCCGAACACAAAGAGAAGGCTTCTCCAGATACCGTTGCCAATTATACCCTCACCATGCTTAGAAGGAGAGTGCCTCCTGCCGTTCCAGGAATCATGGTATTTACAATTATACCCTCACTATGTTTTGTTTTCTTGATTTTTTCTTTTTTATTTATTTTTTTCCTCGGTTTTTTGTTTGTGGTTTTAGTTCTTGTCGGGTGGGCAATCTGAAGCAGAGGCAACATTGAACCTGAATGCAATGAACCAAACTCCCAACCCGTGGCACGTGTCTTTCTCATACGCACGAGCATTGCAGAACACAGTGCTCAAGACATGGCAAGGGCGCCCCGAGAACATTGATGCTGCACAACAATCACTTTTGATACGTGCGAAGGCTAACTCGTTGGCTCAGCTCGGAAAATACTCGGCTCAGGGCGAGAGTGACGAGGCTAAGAAAGGAATGTTCGTAAAGGGCTACACATACTAAGTTTGCCCTTCCGGGACTTTTCGTTTCTTGTTTGGCATTTTCGTGATGTAAATTATGTAATGCTTGAATAATATGATAGTACTAATAAGTTCCCGTAGAACGATTTCCCGAGCTTTGGCCTTTAAAAGGTGGAGTTGGTGAAGTTGAGGGAATAGTTGCTTGTTCTTTTTGTTTCTAGTTGTTGAACTGAAACATTCGGTTTGAACCATGATTTTGATCATATTTTCTGTGATTTTGACAATTCATAATTGCGTCCAATTACAATTTGGACCTACAACTCTTTGAAATTGTAAATAGACCCCAAAGTTATACCACTTGATTATATGGCCCACCCGCGGCCCATTGAAAAAGTCCCATCTGGCCCGTGGTCACAGCCCATCCGGCCTACTGTTTTCACGGGCCGACCCGCCCGGCCCCTTAATCCATTTTATCTTATTTTGATGGGCTGCCCTAGACAATTTTTTTTTTTTTCAAATCATATAATTAAATAGATTGAGTTTATAAATTTTAAAATTATTTTAAAATTCTATATATATGTAAGATACATATTTATTAAGGTATTTTTTGATATTTTATTAGATGAAAAAAAGAAAAAAAAACTCATAAAAGTAGAAACTTAATTGAGCCAATGGCGGGCGGCCCACGAGCCCATTACGGGCCACAGGCTGGCCCAGCCCGCGGACTAAAACTGAGGTTTAGCCCGTGGAATTATATTGCTGGGCTGGGAGGGCTGAATATACGGGCTTGCTTCGGGCGGGCTTCACGGGCCTGGACTATGGGCGGGCCGCAGTCCGAAATTTGTTCATCACTATTGGGAACTAATCACGGCCCGGAGTAAAATGGGCCTAATATGTCTTAAGCAATCACCCTTTCCAATGGCCCAATGGACCATGATCAATAGGCCATAACAATAATTAAGACCTACCACTTAATACGGCCCAAATAAATTTTCAGACTTTAAATTTCTGGATCATTATAAGTACGTAAATTCAGATTTATTTTATTTTATTAGGTAAATTACGGATTCCCTTTTTAGGTAACTACAAATTTACATTCACCCTTCAATTATAAATTTATCTTCTAACACGTCGACTCTTATGGTGTCAAATTCAACAGAATTTTATAGATTATGTGAAATGTTTTCTAGTTTGTACTCGTTTTGTGAAAAAATGCAGTTTCTGATGCACTACAATCCGATATTACAAACCAAGAGACACATTTGATGATCATCTTGTTTCGAAACGTGGAGCTCGAATGGGTTGATACGGGTACAAACTGGAGCATATTCCACATAATTTATAGAATTCCACTAAAATGACACTACAATGAACGCGTAAGAAGATTCATAGCTGGGGAGATAGTCATAATTACCAAAATAGGAGATGGTTTTCGTAATTTGACCTTATAGCAAAGGACTTTACGTAATTAAAATATAATAGAGTGCCTCGAAAAGCGAGATTGATCTGTGTGTCGGAAACATGGAAGTGATTAGATAAATAATGTTGAGATAAATGGAATCTGACCATATAAGTTCCAGACAGGTTGGGAACCTATGGGGATGTTTGGTTATGTTTCCAATGGGAATTTCTAGTTTTCAAAATTTCTGATGGAAAAAGTAGTTTATTGGTTTTTGTGTAGAAAATGGGAATATGTTTGGATGAAGGGGTATTTTTAGTTTTATGTAGGTGTAGAAATGAGAATATGTTTGGTTGTGATGAATTTTCTCTACGAAAGTACGTGAAAAAGTAGAATATAATGATTGAGGATGATGATAGTGATGATGATTATTATTATTATTATGATTATTATTTTTTTTATTATTATGATTATTATTGTTTATATTCTTATAAGTATTATTATTTTATTATTTATTAGTATTATTATTACTATTACCATTATTATTATTATTAGAGCATCTTCCAACGTCATCACTATTTTTTCACCAAATCATGTTTTTGGTGGTGAAAAAATGGGTTTATCTCCCACCCTCAGCACACCATTCTACGATTTCACTACTTTTGGTGAAAAAGTGT